CTGATCTTTTCCAGGGCATAAATTATTGAAGCAGTTGTGGTCAGCAAAGGGAATGATAGTGAAACCCACCTGAGTCTTTCAAAGCAAATAGCAGACACCTTGTCTGAGTTCCAGAAGTCTAAAACATGTCTGACCAAGCCATCCAAGGCAGGAAGTCATTTAACTGCAAAAACGGCCACCCACTTCCTGAGCAAGGTGGGGGAATCCAGGATGCAATGAGAGAAGCCTCACATCTTTTCACTGTTGCATGTTCTCTGGACTTTTTCCCTGACCAGGACTGTGGGGAAGCCACAAGAATAGAAAGTTATTCACAAAGACTGGCTGAAGCCATTTTTAGATGTTCACTCTCAGGCAGGAGGATCTTTCAGTATCTGTGTAAAGAGGGCCTGAGCTGGCATTGCAAAATTGCGTACAGCATTTGGTCTGGTAGGGGACGTGATGTTCTTTACTATCTGAGTGAGGGGAGAGACCCCTTAGTGTTGGGGCACTGTCAATGTATGAGATACAATGTCTGTCAAAGTAGGCAGAGCTCTGAAAAGCTTGACTTACAATTCCTTAGAGGGTGTTGAAGAACAGACAGGCTGAAAACAAAACTCTCTCTCTCATATGTATGTGTATGTATATATATATATATATATATATATATATATATATATATATATACACACACACACACATCAGTCGTTTCATTTATAAAGTCCCTGCAGTTCCTAGTTTGAATTAAGGGAAAGCAAAGCAAATATCCAGCTAGAAAAGTGTACTTGAAAGTTAGAAGGCTGGGGTAAATAAAAAACGTTAGAAAACGGTGCTTTGAAAATTTCAAAGACAAATGTAAAGGAATAGACAGATGCTTTTTAAAAACATTTAAATTTATTTTCATATATTTGGAAGGCACAAGGGCAGGTTTCTTACAGGCATATGTTGCATGGAATAGTGAACACTGTACCCAATGGGTAAGTATTTAGCCCTCACCTTGCTCCCACCCTCCCACATTTTGTGGTCTCCGATGCCTATTATTCTGCACTGTATGTCCATGTGTACCCAGACAGATGCTTTTTTCTTTTTCTCTGCTCTTTCTTCACTTGTTTCAATGTTAACCACTCAAGCACAGAGCTGACAGTAAGAGAGACTGCTTCAAGGCATAAGTCGGCCATTTAATAGTGGTTTCAACCCTGGCCTTTTTTGAGCGCCTGTTTTCTCATCTGTAACATGGAGATTATAATAAGAGAATTTACCTTTTAATCAAATGGATTATAAAGCTAATCCATGTGAAGTACTTAGTATAGTGAGCCACACACAAGCCTCCAATTAAGTTAGCTATTATTCTTATTAGTGTCAGAAAAATTACAAAGTGCAAAACTGTATTGCAAAATTTAAAAACTGAAGCTTCACTGGCAATGAGGATTTTATAAACAGGCCCAGGAGAGTCAGAATGTTCCTTTCAGGCATGGTCAGCCATCAGCACATATTGATTAAGCAGCAGGACATGCCAGTAGTGTTCTGGACGTTATACAAATGAGGAAAGTAAACACAATGTCCAAGTCACGTGCTGTCACTTCCTACAAATACAGAGGCACGTCAAAGGGTGTTTTGTGAATGTGTGGTGCATGCAAAACCCTGTCGGTGTGACCTTCGTAGGTTCTTACATAAGAAAATAAATAATTTGACCTCATTTTTAGGAAACAGATGCTCATTGATTTTATACAACCTCAAAGGATACAAAATGGGTTACAAAGAGAGAAAGAAAGAATGTTACAGAATGAATGACAGGAACATTTTCTTATAAGAGGAACTGCTGTCTCTGCCTGGAACAATTTTTGCCCAGATACTCGCTTGGATGGCTTTTTGTAAGTTAGGCCTTGACTCAAATGTCACGACCTCATAGGGACCTTCCCTAGGCAGCCAGTCTAAAATAAACCTATCCTCATATCCTTCTAATGCTCTAGCCTTCTTTTATTTATTTATTTTTAGCACTTATTCTTCTCTGAAATTACTTTATTCACATATTTATGGAACTGCTTACTGTCGAGCTTTCCCCACGACAATACACACAAGTCACATGTGCCTTGTTTGTCACCTTATCCCAGAGCCTAGCTCACAGCGGGTACTTGATAAATAGCTGAATGAGGAAACAATTGGGTAACGGGCTTACTGGCCATTTTTTAAATATGGTTTGCCTTTTTTTTGTGGTGATTTGGTTACTAAATCTCAATTCCTCAGATCATTCTGGCTTCTTGCTACTGCACAAGAGACATTAGGTCATTGGAAACTTACAGAGGAGTCCCTGAACTGTACTGTCTTCAGAAACAAATACACTTGTACGGTTGTATGAATTTGCTAGGGCTGCCATTTAAATACCACAAACTAGGTGGCTTAAACAACAGACATTGCTTGTCTCACAGTTCTGGAAGCTAGGAGTCCAAGGTCATGGTGTTGGCAGGGCTCCTTCTGAGGGCTGCAAAACATCGGTCTATGCCTCTCTCCTCTTTAGGTGGTTTTCTGGTAATCTTTGGCATTTCATGACTTGTGGAAGTATTGCTCCATCTCTGCCCTGAGTTTTTACATGGTATTCTCCCTGTGTGCAGATCTGTCTCCAAATTTCCCCTTTTTATAAGGGCACAGTCATACTGTATTCAGGCTCATTCTAAAGACCTCATTTAATTTAATTCTGTTAAGACCGTATCTCCAAATAATGTCACATTCTGTGGTACTGAGGGTTAAGACAAACATATAAATTTCAGGGAGACAAAATTGAACCCCTAACAATACTGAACATCCAGGATGGAAAAACATGGTATTAGGTCGAGCCACACATAATTGCTTATGTTTTTGTTTTTTTTTTTCCACCAGGACAAGAAACCCCCAGTGTAGGAAAATTGGAGATATGAAAAACAGGGCTCAAGTAAACACACAGGTCTATGTCAGAACCATGCTTGTCACACAGTGTGGAAGCAACAAGTATTTGGTGAATGAATGAATGCAAACTTGTTCTTTTAAATGACTTGCTCCCTAATCTCTTCCAAGTCTTGGTTCAGATATTACCTTCTTGATATTACCTACCAGACTTATTACTATTCTTAAAACCACCATCTCCCCAGTACTCGTCTCCTTTTCTCTTACTTTTTTTCTCTCTGTAACACTGACCGCCTTCTACCAAACTCTGTAATTCACTTACTTGTCATGTTAATTGCCTATCTCTCCCTACTAGAAGGTAAGTTCCATGAATTCAGGAACTTTTACTGTTGTGTTTCCTTCTGTATGTACCAGCACTTGTTACAGTGCCTGACACAGAGTAGGCCCTCAGTTTTATAGAGTGAATGAATGAATGAATGAATGCTGTTGAGAAAGAGCTCTGGAATCTCCTGGCGTGTTATTTCAGGTTTTGCTTGGAACTCCCCTTGACAGTCACAGAATTTCAATGCTAGTCTTTCGGGGAAATCTCAAAGATCAAGCCCTTATCTCCAAAGCTTGAATTCTCTCTTAAACCGGTGGCATCTTGATAACAAATTGCCTTTGAATGTAGAACCCCTATTTTAATAATAAGAGAGTAAGAGATTGAAACTGTTTAACAAGTAAAATGTGCCGTGGTCTATGTAGTATGGGGAACAGAAGCATAAGGCCTGCCATAGGTTAGTTCAAGGGGTAGATTCAGAGAAGGGCAACTATACTTTAGAGTGTAGCAGAAACAGAATGGCACATAATCGTAGGTCAATGCAGAGTGAAAGGACCAGATGATAAGCCAAGCCAATGAGAGTGAACAGCGTAGTGGTACAGAGCAACACTTTCCAACTTTATGCATGTACCAGCCACTTGGGGATCTTGTTAAAATGAAGATTCTGGTTCTGGAGTGGGGCCTGAAAATCTGCAGTTCTAACGTGTTCTAAGGGGACAGCTCTACGGATCCATGCTTTCAATACTAAAGAGCATGGATATACTAATTACCTGCGTAATCTTCAGTAAACGATTTAACTTCTCTGTGCTTCAGTTTTCTCAGCTGAAGTAATCCCAGTAAAATGAATACCAAGTGTCACTGATGATCAGTTACTTTCACTTGCGGAAGAGTGGAGGGCATGGCTGGGGGTGGAGTGGGAGGAGGGAGTCAGAGAAGTCTTGTATTTTTATACATTTTAAAATAAGAAATGTATTCAGGTATTGACATATGGACCGAGTTTTCTCCTCTCTCATACAAGCACATTACACGCGAAGCCAGATTAGTTCATGAATGTGCTACAGCACAGGATGGCTGGGAAATCCTGCTTGCAAACTGCTTTGGGTCCTGCGTGGGGAACGGTTTTGACTGGGCGCCGAACTCTAAATTCCTCTAGCTTATGCTGAGCTCAAAGTGACTCTCAGGTATTGGATAAGAATACCTTTTGCTCATCACCTGCGGAGTGGTGGCCACAGCGAGGCGCTAGGGAGAGGCGCCAGGAGGCCGGCAGTGGGGGCGTGCAGGCGGAGCAGGGGTGCGGGGCGGGGAGAGGGCCGGCCCACGTGGACCGCGGGGCCAGGCTGGGGCAGGAGCAACCGGCCGGCCCTGCCAATCAGCGCGGCCCGCGGCCGGCCCGGCCCATCTTGGCCAGAGCTTTAGCTGGGCTTGGCTCTGCACTGCTAGCAGCGCGCAGCCCTGCATTTGGCGCGCCGATTGCGCGCGCGGCTGCCGGCGAACATCGGGAGTCCAGCATCAGCCGCCTCTCCGCAGTCGCTGCTTCTCCCCTGGCACCTTCGGGCTTCTCTTGGGAGAGGCGTGGGAACTTTCCTTCTGGCGAGGCTGCGGAGGTGATGGGCCGCTCCCGGCGGGGCCCGCTGGAAGGCGGCAAGGTGAGCGTCCTTGGGCTCCGGTGCGGCGGTCGGTGCCTAGTCGCGGGCTCGCGGGTCTGACTAGGCTGCCGGCTCTAGACCAGTAAGAAGGGTTGGACGGGATAAGGAGGGGCGAGAGGATGGGGTGGGGGTGGATTTGGACCCTGTATTTAGGTGCTGTCTCCTGGGCTGGTACCGACTTAACTCTGCTCGGTGCGGCTCCGCTCGTCCCGGCCCTGTGGGGTGCTGGAACGACTGCCTGTGCTGAGCTCGGCTTGCAACCCGAAGTTGGAAGCGGCGCTCCGAAGTACGGACATGCGGCTGGAGAGGGGCAGCGGCCGCTTCCAGTTTCGGGGTTCGTGTCTGACAGAACCCCCGGGGGTGCTCTGCGGGTGCGGAGGAGGCCACTCGACGAATTGGTACGAGGAGGGGGTGGTGAACTCGCCTTGAGCTCTTTTCTGGACCAGGCAACCTTACTTAGCGCTTCATCTCTTTAATCTGAGCTAGGATCCTTTTAAGAGCCAGCAGGTGGGAGTAGGTCAGCGTTCCCCCCCCCCCCCCCCCGAAGCTCCGGTTGCAGGGATCTTGCTGGAAGGGCTCCATGAATGCTCGGGATGCCTTTTTCAGCTGGTAGCGCAAAGCTTCCCGCCCAAGTGGAGAACTGGAGCGGGTCTGGAAGTTGAGTCTCTTTTCGCGGGAGGCATCTCAGATTTGCCCACCAAAGGGGCATCTCTACCTTTCTTCGTCTCCTTTCCCCTCTTAGCCCTGTCAATCTGCTCCTAGAAGAGAAGGCATCTTTGATCCTAAGGAAGGAGCTCGGGGAGGAATTTGAACTGGAAAGCTTGATCACCTACACCTGGGGAGGCTGCCCAAGCCAGATACAGTGCCGCTGGTGCGTTTTCTTATTGAATCAGCATCATTGAACGTTTGGCGGCTCCACGGAGCCTTAGTCAAGCTACGAATCAGCTCCTAAGCACTATGTACATGCACGGGTTCACAGACTCGCCGACACCTAGCCTGGTGCCCATCTCCCCTCGCCAAGCTTCAGGGACTCCCTTTGGTGAAACGTCTTTATCCCTGAACTCTTTTCGCTTTTAACTTTTCAATGGTCTTCCCTCTGAGACAGGCAAGGTTGATGCGATGTGACAGGCGATCTCCGTGTGTGAGGATGGGTGAGTTCGAAGCCTTGATGTGTTTCTTTCTCTAATATCTTTGACATAAAGCTTGTCCACCACAACCCGGAGCTGCCACCTGCAGACTCAGACACCCAAACTTGTGCACACAGACGGCCTAGCTTTCTAATCACATACATCTTAGTTTGGCCCCTGTCTAGAACACTCGCTGAGGAGGGAAGAGGTGGGGGCAGTTTCTTTGTGTCTGAGCCCAGTTCAGGAAGGGCTTGGACTTTTTTTTAAGGCTAAAATAATTTAGGAACAGCCGTTTTGCAATATAATTAGTGTTTCCATTCAATCACTGAGAACAAATGTATGACTTGAAGAATTCTTCAATAGCCCGTTGTGGGTTTTACAGTGAGAATTTCTGCTAAGTTTACAGTCATATATCAGTGTGAAAGCCCAACACTTCCTTTAGGTTGCAAATACAGGCCTTAATAAGGCAGTGTGAGAGCAGTTTTCAGAATCATTATGACTAATGATGACTTATGTCCTCCTAAAATGACCGAGTGAGTTGGCATGGCTCATTTGTGCAAAAAGCTTTCTTCATATGTGTGGACATTTCTTGATCAATATTCTCATAGCAGAAAGCCGTATTTCAAGGTTTCCTTCCTAAGTTCTTCTGTCTCATTGTTCTGCTTTGCGTGACTCTGCTTTCTGCCCTCCGTACCATCTTAACTGCCATTTGGCACTTCCAAATTTATGAAAGCCTTCACGTCATAATTTGACTTGGCCAGTTTTCCCTGCTAAAGATAAGAAAGTTGCCCTCTCCAGAAAAGCAGTGGCTGCCAATTGATCTATCTTTGACTTTAATTGCACTGCTTGTTCCCTTAGCGCATACACAAAAATCCCTACAAATATCTCTGCTTGATTATTGGGTATTTATTATTGAAGGCAACCTTTTTTATATTTCTAGTTCTAGAATGTTCTAGGTCACTTGAATTTCAATATTCATTTTCTGATCTTTTAAGATATGTGTCCTGTTTGATGGCCTAGTTCTATGTAGTAATTAAAGAAATAGAAGAAACTCCTTTGCTACCCACTGCCACCTCCTTTTCAGTGGCAGGTAGCCTTTTCCTAGTAGCTGCTTTTTTCTGCACCACTCATTTGTTGTTACACTTAATATAATACTTTGCTATGTAAATGGTGTGTTGATGCATGTGATATTAAAACTGCATTCACTGGGGATTAACCCTTGGATATGACATCATCACCAGCCAATGCTTGATCTGATTTGAACATGCATTGACAAAAGTCACATTATCATATTGAGCAAGGGATTCTATATTGCCTGTGATAAAGGAAGGAAGTCTTTTTGGCAACTTCTAACTCTCAATTAGCTGTCCAGTTGGAGAGTTTGGGGTATTTCTATATTAAGAAGCTTAGCTTAATAATAAAATTCTCAGATTGTAGTTTTATAGATCTCTTTAAAATTTGCATAAGTAGATTTCCCCCCTTATGCTTTCTTCCTCTTTGGGAGTTTTTCCACCCTGTGTTCTGGCTCTGGTTCTTATAAATATGTAAAGATATCATAGTAAATGGACTAACCTTTTGCTTTTATTTTTTTTTTGTCCCAGAGGTAGCCCTCTAGGTAATGGGCTAATTTGAGTACGTGCGCTTGTTTCATCAGGTGTTGGCTGTAAATCAGCCAGGATTAGCAAGATGACTTTAAGTCCCAAAGCCAATCAATCATAAATGATTGGGAGACCATAGAGTGTATTTATCCTAATTTGTCAAGATTCAGGATCAAGGGTGGAGGATTGAGGCAATAGGAGACAAAGATGTCCACAAAGGAATTGGTGAAGTGATCTTGGCCACACTGATCACTTAATAATTATTTGTTTTGAAAATGTTATTTTTAAAAGCCACGTCAGAACCTAGACAGCCCTGACTTAGAGACTTCAGCTGTGGCATGGCAGCCCTGACTTAGAGCCTTTAGTTGTAGTGTGGCATTTCACTTTGTAATGCGCCACTCAGTTTGTGATCTCCTGCAACACACCTCCGATAAGATAAAATTGACCTTGACTTCCTATTTGATATCTGCTGAAAATATAAGAGAAATTCTTCCTGTTTTACAGTCACTATTCAAGTTCAATTCATTTTCCTCCAGTCAGTCAAAAGGGCTCTCTAAAAAACAAACCATAAACTTAATTGTGCAATCTGATTTAAGGAAATGCTCAAAATAATTTTAAATCTAGAAAGTACCTTCAATTTCAGCTTTCTAGAAGATTGGGGGTAGGAGGTGTTGTCATACCTTGGATCTAGTATGTTATTAAAAAAAAAACCTGGGATTAGAATCTGTGAGTCCTATTCCTAGCCCAGTGTCCTTTCCGATGAAGACAGGGAGAGAATGATTCCTGTGAGGCGGTGGACCCCTCCCCTTGGCTGTCTCTGCAGAGGGAGGGACACATGGGCTTCTCACACCATCAGTTTGCTAGACTACTATGCTAGCTGAGCCCAGCTCAAGGATTGGACAGCTGTATGCACCAGCCAGCTTGGGTTACTTCCTAGGTGCTGCCACGGTATCTGGAGTTATAAAGAAAAGGTTTAAAGGGAAGCTGGCGATGGAAGAGGATTGGGTAGGGTGACTCAGTTTGAACCTAACTGAACATGAGGAATGACATGGATGTTAAAATGATGGTCAGGCAGTTTAAGGTAATGATTTATGGTTTACTTGTGAAAGAACTCAGAATATTAATATATTAAGTGATAGGCTGCCCTTTCACACTTCGTGCCTTTTGGTTGCTATGAAAGCCAATCCTAGCCAATAATTTGGAATAGTATTATTTTTTGGCATTGCTGTGAATAATGACAATGGTATCCTACATTTGCTGAACACTTGGTATATGCCAGCTGTAGAGTCTTGATGTTACGGAAACATTGTGATTACTAGATGGCTTTCTCTACATGGATGAACTACTGATTTTCAGAATTAGGAATCTAAAGCAACATTGAGTATTTTTTAGTTATTTTTAATTTAAAGCTGTCAGGATCTTACAGTAGCAAATCATTAACGTGAACATAAGTGATTTTAATTCAGAAGTATGATAGCATCAAATATTAGGGAGTTGTTAATAAAATGACAAGACATTATTTAGAAAGATAATAAAGACATAGGTAATTTGTTTCCTTTTATGAGATTGTAGTATTGTTAGTCCAGAAGAGTAAAATATCCTTATTGGAAAAATATGAAGATATCCTTGTATTTCTTTTTCTGTTTCTTTTTTTGAGATGGGGTCTCACTCTGTTACTCAGGCTGGAATGCAGTGCTATGATCATAGCTCACTGCGAACTTGACCTCCTGGGCTAAACCAATCCTTCTGCCTCAGCCTCCTGAGTAGCTAAAACTACAGGGTATGCCACCATGCCCAACTAATTGTTTATTTTATGTAGATACAGAGTCTCAGCAATTTCCCCCAGGCTGGTATTGAACTCTTGGGCTCAAGCAACCCTCCTGTCTCAGCCTCTAACCCACCTTCTGGCCTCAGGTGATCTGCCCACTTCAGCCTCCCAAAGTTCTGGGATTACAGGAGTAAGCCACCGCGGCTGGCTGCAAAGAATTATTTGATTCAAAATATCTCAAATGCTGTGGTTGAAAAACCCTGTTCTAATACTTTTTAGGTCCAGATGTTACAGGCATGAGCCTCTGTGCCTGGCTATCCTTGTATTTCTTATGAAGTAAAGGAAAGACACTAAGGTTTTTTTTTTGTTGTTGTTTTTTAATATGGCAGTACACACAAACTACTCCATTGGCTTTGCTAGTGCCAAAAGTTCATTTTAAACCAGAAAGCAATAGAACATTCTACAGTATTTCAGTTACCTTAACAAAAGGTGGAACTGCCAAAGGCTAGACTTATTATTTATTCTTTTTTAAATGACCACCGTGTCTGATTAGATTCTTTTAGTTTCACAGATGTGCTGTGTGTTCTGAAGTTTTCTCTGAAAATTAATAGTTTTATTTTTTATTTTCTTTCCATTTCATCTTTTTCTTTAATAAGTGATGAAAATATTGATGAGTCTGCGGTACACCGTAGTTACTAAACTGGGAAACATTGTGCCCAAAACCACAGACTTTAAATACAGCTTCTAAAAATTAAAGCTTTTCGGCAAAGAAGAAACCTAAAGACCAAGAATTGCAGGGGAAACTTAAAATTGCTCCAAAGTGGGGGCAGTTTTGCTCCCCAGAGTTTTGGCAATGTCTGGAGACATTTTTTTTGGTTGTTACAATTTGGGGCAGGATGGTATGGGAGAGCAGTCTCTCATAGGTAGAGGCCAGGAATGCTGGCTAAGCATCCTGTGATGCACGGGGCAGCCCCCACAACAAGGAATTATTTATTTATTTATTTGAGATAGAGTTTTGCTCTATCACTTAGGCTGGAGTGCAGTGGCGCCATCCCGGCTCACTGCAAACTCCGCCTTCCAGGTTCAAGCCATTCTCCCACTTCAGACTCCCCTGTAGCTTGGATAGCAAGCACCTGCCATCATGCCTGGCTAATTTTTGTAGAGACAGGGTGTTACCATGTTGGCCACTCTGGTCTCGAACTTCTGGCCTCAGGTGATCTGCCCACTTCAGCCTCCCAAAGTTCTGGGATTACAGGAGTAAGCCACCGCGGCTGGCTGCAAAGAATTATTTGATTCAAAATATCTCAAATGCTGTGGTTGAAAAACCCTGTTCTAATACTTTTTAGGTCCAGAATAGAGAAAAATGACTTACACAATGTCCCCAGCTCTTTACTTCTGTCAGGGAACCCAAGTATCTTGATGCCTAGGCCATGATTCTTTTCATCACCCTAGACTTCTGTCTTGAAAATTTTTTTTTTTTTTTTTTTTTTTTTTTTTTTTTTTTGGGGGGGGAGGAAGGCAGGAAGGAAGGGAAGAAGGACGGTAGGGAGGAAGGAAGGGATGAAGGAAGGAAGGAAGGGAGGAAGCGAGGAAGCGGGGAGGGAGGGAGGGAGGGAGGGAGGGAAGGGAAGAAAGGAAATCAAGCAATGAAAGAGACA